ATGATAATGATACAGCACGGTTTACTGCTATTTAACGATGGAGCGTCAAGTAAACAAATATTGAACTTCCTGTCATACTGGCACACTAAACACAACCACACATACACTGTATGAAACTCAAACAAAACAACACATTCACACAAGAAAACACGTACACACATGACCTAGACATAGCCATGGGCACACGGCACCATAATGTTAAAGACCACATTTGTCTCAAACAATGAATCAGCCGTTTGAATGAATCAATGAGACACTTACTCACCCACCGTGAGTTCTGATCGGCAAATCATACCTACACCGACAAGAGCCGACAAAGAAAACATCCCCCTCCCTCCCGCCAAGTAAAGCAAAATCAAATAAAGGATCTGCCACGACACGGGCAATCTCACCATCCGTAGGCTTTCCGCCGCGGCGACACGCGCAGCCCGCCGGGAAGCCGGCGCGCACCCTGACGCCTCGGAACCAGAGGACATCAGCGCACCGCGCTCAGCTGGCCGGCGAACGACGAACCGCAGCCGTTTCCACGGAGCCGACGGCGCCGACAGGATCCACCAGCGCACCATGACGCTCGTCCGTCACCATTACACCCGCCGAAGAACCACCAACCGCGGCCGCGCCGGCAGCCGCCACAGAACCGGCGGCCGCGGCGGCGACCGGCACGCCACCGGCCGCCGCGCGCCGGTCAGCGCCGGCCACGGCAGGCGGGTCGGACAGCGCCGGGCCAGGAGGAGCACGCCGACCCGCCGCCGGGTCCAGCTTCCTCCCCAGCTCCGCGATCTGCTCAGGCGACGTGACCCGAACAGGACTGGACAGCTGCTGCAGCTTGTAGAAAGGCAGACCGTTTCTAGTGAAGACAGTCCACAGCCGCTTTTCCTTCTTCATGGCCAACAGCTCGCTGAACAGCTCCCTTTTGGCGCGGGTGAGCGACTCATTGATAAACAACCGGTGTTCAGCAGGGGTAGAAGAGGAGCTAAGTTTAAGCCTTCCTTCGTACAGCTTATTACGCAAATCCTTGCTGTAGAAAGAGCAAATGACCGAGTTATCCTTAGCCAAGCGGTGGGTGACAGACAGATCTTCCGCCTTCAGGGGAATGTGTGGAAAGCCGGACCTGAGGATATCGAGAGCCTTACCCTGGATGTCCTCTCCTTCACTCCTCGGTCCGAACCGGCGGCTCCACAGGACCAGACTCTTTCCCCGCTCGTTACGTTCGTTGTCATCCACCTGTTCCGTTAAACCTTCCACTTTCCTTCGGAGAGTTGCCAGTTCATCTTCTTGTTTCTCAATGATTTTGGCCTGTTCAAACATTTCGCTCTCTATTTTGTTGATAATTTTCTCTTGTGACTCGATCTTTTTTCAACGTGCTTTGTCAATGTCGCAAACTGCTTTTCCAAAGCTGATTCAATTGTCTTTTCAATCACCTCCCTCATATATTGCATCATCTCAGGGCTCAGGGAGGACTTGGACTTGGGAGACTTACGTGTCCTTTGCTTTTTCTCGGTCGCAGGCAGCATATCCGAAATGGACTGCTGTCTGTGTCGCTTCCCTTGGGCACGGGTCCTCTCTTCTGCCGAACCCGTCTCCGCATCACTGAACATCGAGTCCGTCAGCTCGTCACCGGTAACGAGCGACATCTTCCAAGTCCGACAACTTCGAACTTGCCGCTGAAATCACAAGGTTCACTCGGGGACCTGACTGAGCTCACTTTTCACCGCACTTCACCTGAGCCCACCGTTCACTACTGCCATGCGCCCCGGCCACACCGTCCCTCAGCCGCACATTCGGACAAACAACCCGAGCGAGGGTAGCCGGGAGGCGACCCGGACCGTGCGGCGGTCAAGGTCAGACTGAGTTCACTATTCTTTAATACTGCAGGAGCGGATTTGGGAAGTACTTGTTCGGCAAGACAATCCTTCAGAAACTTAATGCGGTTCAAGCTACTGGTGATCTTTTTCCCAAATCCGCTCCTGCAGTATTAAAGAATAGTGAAAAACCGTTTAGTGAAGCCGCAAGAAAATACCTAGAGGAAGCAATCAACGAAATAAGGGATCACATTTATGTGCTAAACGACGAAAGGGAGGGGGTGCGACTAGGAACGAATCTCGAAGGCAAACTGAAACGACTCAATCACGAACAACGAAAACGGCTGCTTCGCAAGCTTAAAGAACAGTGCAATGCTAGCAAATGGAAAGAAGCTGGAAATATTGATATCGTAATGAACATTTCGTCCCGTTCGCTGACTGACTATGAAAAAGAAGCGCTATCCTTGGGTTTAAAATTTGACTCAGGTAAAGACAAATACTCCTTTGTTCAGCATGTAGAGAAGAACTTTAAATGGAACGAATCTGATGTAGATAAGGGGTATATTCAAGGTATTCTGGCATGCTGCAAAGCACTAGCAGATCAAGAACCTGGAAGCCTACCAAGGAGATACGTTAAAGCATTGCGTGACTTAGCGAACGATAACGATATTGTGGTGACCCAAGCAGATAAGGGCGGGGGGATAGTTATTATGGACCGATCACAATACCTCGAGAAGATGCAAAGCATGTTGGATGACGAAGAAACGTACGAAAAGAAACGAAACGGATACGCCGAGAAGCAGAGCAAGATTTTCAATACGGAGGCTAGGAAAATCATGAAGAAATCTGAAAGGGGTAAGAAAATGTATCATTTACTGGAGGAAGCACCTGCTGTTCCAAAAATGAAAGGTCTGCCCAAAATGCACAAGGACGGGATACCCATGCGCCCGATTACATCCGGTATTGGGAGCGCCCCCCACAATCTGGCTAAGACACTGGCAAAACCATTGTCGATGGCCCTCGGATCTATCAGCGATGCGCACCTCAAAAACTCATCAGACATGATGTCTAAACTGAAAGAAATGGAAAACGTAGAGGACATGAAAATGGCAAGCTTTGACGTGAAATCCCTTTTTACCAACGTCCCCATTCAAGGTGCCCTAGAAGCAATCGAAAAAGTGGTAAGCACCACTGATGAGGATTCTCTCCCACTTCCAAAGGAGGATTATATCAGATTAGTTTCTCTGTGCATGAAGTTTGGCTGTTTTTCATTCAACGGAAAGGAATACTTACAAAAGAATGGACTGGCTATGGGATCTCCTCTCAGCCCAGTAGCCGCTTGTTTATATATGGAAACTCTGGAAGCATCAAATTTCTTCGAAATCATGGGGTCCAGCTCCATATGGATGAGATATGTGGACGATGTCCTAGTGATCGTTCCAGAAAACACGAATCTGGAACAAAAACTAGCGCAACTGAACGAAGTCAATGCGAAAATACAGTTCACGATCGAGCACGAAGAAAATGACCAACTAGCGTTCTTAGACACGTGCATCATCAGAAGAGAGACAGGTTTCAAATTTAAGGTACATAGAAAGCCAACCAACAAAGAAGATTATGTTCATTTTTACTCTGGCCACAGTGAACGTGTGAAAAGTGGTATAGTTATAGGTTTCTTTTTACGAGCAATGAGAATTTGTGATGAGGAGTTCCTGGACGAAGAGATTAAACATATTTACAACGCTTTCACGAAACTGAAATACCCGAAGGGGTATCTCATTCGGCAAAAGCAAAAGGCCGAACGAATAAAGAAGAACCCAAAACAAAAGGAAAAAGAACAAGGAAGGAAAAAGCGAAAATGGATATCGATTCCAAACTTCAAGAGCGCGGAGGTTATTTCTAAATCACTTGAGAAGACAGGCGTACGAGTAGCAACGAACACGGGAACGAAGATACACGAGATGATTAAACGAAGACCGAAAGAGACGTCCGACACATCCGATTCTCCGAAAAGTGTAGTATACGAAATTCCTTGTGGTGGGTGTAACAAAAGCTACGTGGGAGAAACGGGGAGGGGGGTCGAAACGAGACTTAAAGAACATAAAAGTGACCTTAAGTTTCATCGAACATCGAACGCAATCGTCGTACATGCCGAACAGTCTCATCATTTACCGAACTGGGGAGCAACTCGATTATTAGAGAAGGGCGCACGAAAAACGACACGAAAAATCTTAGAAGCGGCTCACATATCAGCACGCGATACCATCAATACTAGGACTGGATTTATAACTTTAGCAACATGCGCTGTAAGCTTAGTGGCAGGACTTCGATAGATAATCTCGTGATTGTGATCTATTTTTCGAGTGCTGTTTTATATTTTTGTACAAGCTGCCGGTGACAATTTCTGTCCTCATTTCTGTTAACACAGTGATCAAGGTATTTTCATACAGAAAGCTTTGTGTGTTTAAATATACATTTGACGTGTTATTGTTATCATTTATCCTATACAAATTATCTTTATAGAGCGCCAGAATATTGTCATAGGGGTCCCTAGCCTTTCATAGAAAATATAATTTAAATCATCCTATTAGCAGTAAACAATGCACATCAAACGAAGATCAGATGATCTAGAACCAATTAGTACGTACCGATCAATCGTCTGGTTGTGATCCACCGTATCATATCAAATTACTGAATGCTCAAACGGAAATGACTCCTTGAAAACTCGTTCGATAGCTTCTGATGGACTACTAGTTGCCTATACAAATTATCTTTATAGAGCGCCAGAATATTGTCATAGGGGTCCCTAGCCTTTCATAGAAAATATAATTTAAATCATCCTATTAGCAGTAAACAATGCACATCAAACGAAGTGCAGTCCTAAATATCAAATAGCATGTCATATTTACAATTATGCATTAACTGTTTACGTTCGTATCCCGTGGCAACTTTCCACAACTAACCATGTTCCTATACGCTGACCTTCATCTATTGCCCGCGCCCCAATTACGGCTAACCCACTGCCCCTACTGTGGCCGCTGCTCCACTCCCGACGCTGCTCTCATGCCATCTAGCGGCGCACGGTTCCACGTCGCGACCGACGCGTGTCTGACTGGCCGGGCAGTGGATCGTCGTCGCCGGCCCCCCCGACAGCCAAGGTCACGCGGCTGGGCGGTGCGGCGCGTCAACACTCGCGGTGCAGTACTGGTGTGTGCGGTCTCTTCGGGCTGGGTAGATTCAACGAATGTGTCAGTGAGTGTGAATCTGGTAAAATATCGCTGCAATATTTTCCTGTTCGACATTTCATCAGCTCCGTTCAACGTAAGTGGTTAAAAGTAAATTCCTGTTCCATTTAATCGTTTCCCAACAAAGATGGTCTTTCTATTATTTATTCTACAAAAGCACAACGATCGGTACCTATATTAGTCGCATATTAGTTCTAATCACAAACAATTCTACATCTACCTATTACTCGACATTTCGCAACTACAATGACGCAAAGTACAAGGACCATCTAAAGTCGCAAAGCGTCAGACCGTCGACCTCAAACCACTACTCTCAACTCTGCACCTAAGCAACAGAAGAAATTCCGCCGTAAGCTCAAGCATTCGCATCTGTCGAAAATCATAACTCATAGCCATATTCATAGATCGATTGCATGAATCAGTCGCCACCTTAAAACATTTCATTCCCTTTCAAACGTATTTACCTGTTCTATAATTGACTTCGACTTCGCAATTAATTCCTACAGGAATATTACCAATGATTTCGCAATGCAACTTTTAGTGAGTACAGCACGAATCTAAACCCTTAATTTCTCAAACTTCCCAACCTTAAATCACACCTGACCACCGCCAATAACGAATGAACGAACCAGTTTGGCCAAACACAAAGACATATTTCAATGCTGACACGCAACATGTCAAATTTCTGCGGTCGTGACACTGAGCTGCTTATTCAAATTTTTGGATCTCGCTCTCGGCCTAATCGTGAACTCCAATTGACAATAACGTATTTACTGGCGGCTCTGACATGACTTCGAAATTCAGATCCTAATGTGCTACTAGGGTGTCTGGACCAATAAGTTCAAAGTAATTTAAGTTTTCCAATTCCAATTGAGAGTGCATTTTATGGCAACCAAAAATGTTTGGCAGTCGTCACGGGCACGGCAAGCTGGGCAGAGGGGGAAGGGGCAAGGATCAGGGATTGAGCAGACTTTTCAACAACACTCACATTCTGGAGTTTCTCTGCGCTTCCGCTTCTCAGTGTGGTCACAAGCGTCGGCGGTTGTCCTCCGGCTCTGGTCGGTCGAACTGAAGAGGCTTATCGCGGGTGACCCCGGACCGACGGCGGCTTCCAGGTGGCGTCTCCGGCTCCGGCTGCAGACTGTGACTCTCGGCTGCTCGACTGTGCAACTCCCCCTCTGGTTGGGTGGTGCACCTTTTTATAGCTTGGGGGGAGGGGGTGACTGCCACGCCCTTGCGCCGTCATCTTCCTCTGCCTTCCTCTTGTGGGTGGGCCCGTAAGATGGCGCCCTCTGTCCTGTTTAGTCACCTTGCTCCTCTGTGTCTGCAATTTTTGGCCGTCGAATCGTCTTCGTGTTGAGTGCTTTATCATCTTAGTAGTCGCTGGCATAAACCAATCCCCGAAAGGTTGGTGATTTTCGAGTTTTAATTTTGATTCTTCAATTTCATTTTATTCAAACTTTTGTTTCCTTCCGTTTCGTCTGCCGGCAACGCCCCTTGTGACGTCACTCTTGCTCCGCCCACTGACGTCATCTTGGTTGGGGGGGTCGGTAGAACAGCGCCTTCTGTCCGCGGTGGGGACGTCCTGAACTACGTTTGTTTCGGACAACAGCGCTTTCTATCCGCAGTGGAGACGTCCTGAACTACGTCTGTTTCGGAGGATGTTTGCTAAGTTTAGCAGATTCCGTTGCAGTGAGACGCACTGTTGTGCTACCATGGCTACGTGAGACCCAATGTGCTACGTGCCTTAAGCCTGCGCGTGGTCTCACAGTGTGCCGACGTTTGCTTGTAGCTACAGCTGCTTTGTAATGACTACCAATGACTCATCTTGATGTGACTGTCTTCAGAGGTGCTTGTCTTAATTGGAGTTTAATGGCGGCCCATTCTGTGCGGACAGTGAGAAATGATTGGGGAGGGTGGACCTGGGGACGGGTGGGAGGAGGAAGGGAATAATGACAAGGGAGGGAAGCGTGCGGCAGCGCTCTGCTCAGCTGCGCGTCACAGGGCCGACCGTGCCGAAAAGATATTACGTTAGATGGTCAAGATGTAGCGTGCTACATCTTCAGTCCAAACAACCCTAGTTGCGTCCTCGCAACTTCTACAAAAAAGTCACCTCCCTTACTCATCTAAATCTACACAATCATGTTAAGTTCCGCAACGCCTACAAAATGACATCGTATACCTAGTACAGTACACACACGCACCTGTTGTTCCTCGTCCCCACCTCAGTTTGTCGTTCACCAGATCCAGGTCACGGGCACCAACCACTTTGGTTAGCCCGATGTCGTCGGTCGCCGTCCGGTAAGCGGCTTCTCAGGAGGGTGAAGACCTCTATAGCAGCCCAGGTGGGCGGCCTCCACAGCAGTTCGGGTGGCAGCCTTCACGGCAGCCCGGGTGGGCAGCCTTCATGGCGGCCCGGGTGGCGGCCTCCATGGCAGCCCGGGTGGGCAGCTTGCACGGCGGCCCGTGTGGGCAGCCTACGTGGCAGCCCAGGTGGATGACTCCTCCGTGGCAGTCCGGGTAGGCGACCTCCATGGCCGGCCCTGCCGCGACCTCCGTGGCCGCCCGGGTGGCAGGCTCCGTGGCAGCTCAGGTGATCGACCTCCATGGCAGCTCAGGTGGGTGACCCTCGTGGCAGACCCGGTGACAGCCTCCGTGGTAGCTCAGGTAGGCGACTTCCGCGGCAGCTCAGGTGAGTGACCCCCGAGCCAGCACGCGATGGCAATGCATCCCCCGTGGCAGCTCAGGTAGGCGACTTCCGCGGCAGCTCAGTTGAGTGGCCTCCATGGCAGCCCGGGTAGATGACCTTCGTGGCAGACCCGGTGACCACTCCGTGGTAGATCAGGTGAGTGACTTCCGCGGCAGATCAGGTGAGTGACCCCCCGAGGCGGCACGCGAGACCAATGCTTCCTCCGTGGCAGCTCAGGTAGGCGACTTCCACGGCCGATCAGGTGAGTGACCCCCCGAGGCAGCACGTGGGACCAATGCTTCCTCCGTGGCAGCTCAGGTAGGCGACTTCCGCGGCCGCTCAGGTGAGTGACCTCCGAGGCAGCCCGCGAGGGCAATGCATCCTCCGTGGCAGCACAGGTGACCTCCGTGGCAGCCCAGGTAGCGACCTTTCGGCGGACCAGGTGACAGCCGTTGCAGCAGCTCAGGTGGGTGATCTCTGCAGCAGCCCATCTCAATGGATCGTTTGGCAGTTGGTCTCGCAGCATCCTGGCACCCTCTCCTCGTTCACCAACATGATAATCGCCTCGGCTGTGTTGTGAAGACGACCGTGTTTGTTTTTGATTCAGTACAACACGAGCATTCCGCCTGTTCTTCTTCCTCTTCTGCTTTTGATATTGCTGTCCTCTTATCATCAATACTCTAGAAAGTTCGAGCTCTCCTTTGCACTACAGCAGCTGACCTTGACTTGGACTTGTTGTACAGCAGAACGTAGAAGAATTGATATGCTGATGCGGGCAATTGTCAAGTTTCATTTTCGGCCTGACTTTTGTATTAGTCTGATCCTTCGTTCATGAGACAGCTTCATTTCCTTATCTTATCTTCAACAACTTCTTCTATATCCTTTTCAGTATTCGTAAGACCGCTTCCTCTCATTAGTTCCTTCACGTCAACCCCTGCAGCACGTTCATTTCCACTGCTGTCAGTATTTCGAACACCTGCCCAATTCTTCAACTTTCCTGTCATCAGCCACCATCATAAGCTTCATCATCTTCACACAGCTTTCTTTAGCTCATCCTCTTTCTTCACGTCGACCCCTGCAGCATGCTCATTTCCACTGCTGCCAGTATTTCGAACACCTGCTCTTTTCTTCAACTTCTTCCTCTTCTCCATACGGTTGACTTTCAATTCATCAACTTCGGGTTCGGCGGCTTGTGCCAGTCTACCAGCTTCACAATTTGAGAATTATCAAAGCCCCACGTTATGGGCGCCATTTGTAGCGAGGGGATTTAGAGAAAGAGAGGCACTGGAGGAATAAAAAAACTGCATCTTGCGGGTCATCAAACAGCGCGGTCCACTGCTGTTCGGCGGTGTAGCAGAAGAGAGATTCGCTGCTGGAAGGAACTCGATAGTAGAGCTGGTAGAACAGGGGAGCTTGAGCGTCTTGGAAAAGATCCCGAGAGAGATCTAGAGAGAGATCCAGATAGTGATGACATCATGAGATAGATTTAGAAAGGGATCTTGATAGAGATCTTGAGATGACGTCCACCTGGGAGAGATGACATCCACCTGATAGAGATGAGATCCTGAGATAGATGAGATCCACCTGATAGAGATGTAGGTATCTATCCTCCTAGTTCTCCTTCAACAATACAACCGTCTGTGCTAGTCCTGGAAATCGGGCTCTCATTTGTCGTGAGTACCCAACTTGACGGTCATCGCCCAGCAGCCCCCTTATCGGATAACTATTTTGTCAGGTAATTACATTCATCGTCTTGTGTCATAATCGTTTGACTTCCAATCATCTGGTTTGTTGGCCTCTGTTACTCCTCTGCGTGGTGCTGCCCTCCTCACCGTAGCGGAGACCCCGGGAACGATTATCATGTTGGTGAACGAGGAGAGGGTGCCAGGATGCTGCGAGACCAACTGCCAAACGATCCATCTTGGGCGTGTCCCGTTGTCAGCTGGCTAGTCTCTGTATCTCGTTGCTGACTTCTGTCAGGCGCGCCCTGTGACGTCATCTTGGATGGGTGGGTCCGTAGAACAGCGCTTTCTGTCTGCGGTGGAGACGTCCTGAACTACGTCTGCTTCGAACAACAGCGCTTTCTGTCCGCGGTGGGGACGTCCTGAACTACGTTTGTTTCGCACAACAGCGCTTTCTGTCCGCAGTGGAGACGTCCTGAACTACGTCTGTTTCGGAAGTTGTCTGCTAAGTTTAGCAGATTCCGTTGCAGTGAGACGCACTGTTGTGCTACCATGGCTACGTGAGACCCAATGTGCTACGTGCCTTAAGCCTGCGCGTGGTCTCACAGTGTGCCGACGTTTGCTTGTAGCTTCAGCTGCTTTGTAATGACTACCATGGGCGTAGGAACGGCTGGAACATTGTGGGTGCATGGGTGCAGAAATCCA